TTTGATCCCCAGTACCAAAAATAAATAAATAAATAAAATGGAGTACTACTCAGCCATAAAAAATGAGAAATTAGAGACATTTGTAGCTAAATGGATGCATACTGAGGCCATACTCTTAGGTGAAATAAATAGGATACACATGTGTAAACACTGAATAGTTTCTCTGGTGTGAGAAATTCAAAATGTAAATAAGGATGAAAATGTGTAATAGATAATGTGAAATAGGAAGAAAAGGTCCAAAGAGGAAGGGGAAGTGGGAGCCATAGGGGAAAGGATAGAAGGGAAAGGAATAAATATGAGAAAAGGAAAAAAAAATCAAATAAAGTCTTTGTAAATAGGGAGGGGTGGAAGGGTTGAAAGGAGGGCTGGGGAATGGGGAAAAAATAAGAGCCAAGATATATCATGTAAAGGTAAAAATTCCCAATGATGAATGTCATCATATTGTGTATCTAAAATGTACCAATTAAAAAAAACCCAGCATCTGTTGCCAGTTAAGTAAAGAAACAAAGACTTCAATGTATAATACATTTATAATCATTTGTTAGGAATCAGACCTAAAGCAACCTCATGGACCCCAATGACATTTTAAGTTTATACACTGTGCACAGTCCTTTGGATACCTGGCTACCTGGATACTATAGTATACCTGGATACTACAGTATTCCGGGCCATTAGTCTATAGCTCAGTGATATCAGAAAAGGAAATGTTTTTAAAAGACCCTCTGGCCTTGGGCTGGGACAGTTTAAATTAAGAACTTATTTTTTATACATTTCTTACATGATTAAAACCCCTGAGAAAACACTTACTATCTAAAACGGATAGGAAGACACTTCCCAATTCCAAAGTACCTTCTAAGTAAAGTAGCAACAAGGATCATAATTACTCTAGTTCTCTGAACCTCAGGAGAAACTTCTGTGTGCATAAAAAAGTATCCAAACTTGAAATAGTGCAGATGCCTTGGCACCACCAGCCTTTCTTACTTGAAGGCATAATTCTCTCTGTATCTACTCTACAACAAATTCTATCTATTCTTCTACACCATCTATGTGTCTTGACTAAATTCTTTCACCAAAGGCACAAAGAACCTAGGACCAAGGAAGTGAGGGGCCATTTCCTTGCTGTGTCAGGACCCGGCTTCCTGGTAACAAACATTTAGCAGTTTTGTTTTAAAATGTGCATACTTAAAATACACTAGGAATGATAAATTTTTCAGTTTTTATGTTTTATTAGTGCATGTTTGCCGTACACAATGCTCACATTTCCTGTGGGAAGCGGGTGTGCGTACATGACACATCTCAATACTTTTTTGCATCACCTTCCCCTCTCCTTTCTCCCCTTCTCTTCCCTCCATCTCTTGGTGTTCCCTGCCCATTTGCAAAAGATCTAGCTCTCTATTTCCTATTATTTATCTTTTGTTTTGCTTTTTATTTGTATTTTGTGTAGAAATATTTTATAATTATTTAAACTTCAGATAAAAAATTTTGGGGAAAGAGAGAAGTTAGGGAAGGGATCAAAATGATCAAGACATGCAATGTCCGTATACCAATCCCCCAAAACAAATTTAACTATGATGTATTGCTAACATACATTAATAAAAAGAAATTCAGTTGTAAATGTAAAAGTATCAAAGAAGTAATAGAGTTTATAAAATTATTTGAAGAGGTACATGAGTAAAAAAATGTTTAAAGACCATAAGGCTATCTAAATCACTGGTTTTCCAGCTTTGGCCTTTCAGATATTCAGCTTCTTGGTGATGCTATCAGTACAAGTATAGATACATTACGTTCTAAAATATTCAATAACAAATACAGTAGTCATTTTTACCTGAAATGGGAGAAGAATGATGGGTTCTGGATAATTTAGTAATAGAAGTCTTAAAATATAATGTATCAAATCAGCTGCCAATTTATAAATTCTCTAATAACTTTCTAAACTTATGATGCAGGCTGGAACTGAATGATGGCATTCCTCAGCAACAGTTAAAATTACAGGAGCTTTGGAGATATGTTTCCTTCACTAAGGTAGTTGGTTAAATTATATCACTTAACAAAAATGCTTACATGGTGGTAAAATTATTGGCTACAGTTATTAATATTATTCTAACTGCAGAATCTACTGCAAAAATGGAGTGTATGTTATAATGTGATCTTCTGACCAAATCCATCTTAAGGCATACTAAAATAATGCCCTAATCTATCATGACCATCAAACACACTTTAGTTTTTTTCTTTATTCATTTTCTGTGGTGCTGGGGACTGACCCAGGGCCTTGCACATGAACATCAAGTACTGTATTACTTAGCTACATCTTTAGCCCAGACATATGATAGCTAAGCAGCAGTACTGTAGCACTGGCTGAAGCTCCCAAAATACAGCCTCTCAATCAAAAAAAGTAAATTACTGAAAAAAATTTTACCAAGTGTTTAAAAATAACCAATGATTTCAATTCATAACACTTCTTTACCACCTACAGATGAGAAAGTGCAGCTTCTAAGGTGTGGGCTACACTAGTGCATTAATGATTTAGACAAAGAAGGAATGTATTTTAGTAAAAGGAAGCGAGACTGTTGATTGACAGTGCTTGGAAAAAAGGTTAAAAATTCAAAAAGAGTGATTGCATGTGGCTCAGAACTTAAAAGCTTTTTTCTTCTCCCAACAAAAGAGCAATGGCAAGTAATAGCAGGTTGCCATGGAGATGAGAAACTAGAGGGATGAGAGAACTCAATTTGCAGTTAAATGGGCTGGAAACAATTCTTACTACTTGGTGAAGAAAAGCGATTAAAAATATACTTGATTTCCAGAGGGAATCTTTTTCACCTAGCCATTTCCCAACCTCATTAATGAACAAGACACACCAAATGAAAACTCAAAGTATCCATAGATTGAACTCATTAGACATAATTTTGGATTTCAAACATTATCACAATCATTTCTAATCTGAGTGACTGTGGCTCTTTTCAATGATACCTGTTAGTAAATAATGCATGAGACAAAAATTATGTTGAAGAACAAAAATGTTGAGGGGACTGGAACTTCAGTGGAAAAAGGAGCACAGGAAATGAAAAAGTAACCAGAGAAAGAAACAATTCGAGTACAATCTAGATATCAAAAAACCTCTTCATAGTCAATCATTGAATACCTTTGTGAGTGCTGTAAAGAGCTGCAAATGTCACCATGAAGAAAGTTGTAGAGTATTTGCCAGCATTAACTAAGTGAGGAAAGGCCCTTTTTGTGTCTCGGTATCTGCGCAGGCACTGGATGAAGCGAAGCCAAGCAGGAATGCACTGAACAATGGCTCGCACACCATATGAATATTTGTGGCAAATTTCTGGTTCTGTAAAGATTTCAAAGAAGAAAAAAATTTAATTAAGGAACTAGTCTGTTCACATTAATTAGCCATACAGACCAACCATCAACAAGAAGCAAAAGGCCTGGGTTTCAGAATCACTTTCCTCTTTGCGATTATTATATTCTCAAGGTTTTTAGTGGTATATAAACCAAAGAGAAAAGGTAAAATCTGTAAAAGAGATTAGTGGGAAAATGTGTCCTCTCAGATATCTGGGTATCTGTCCTAGAATCATTTTTTAACAAGTATGATAAAACTATAAAATAAATGAGAAAATGGGGCTGAGGATTTAGCTCAGTGGCACCGTGCCTGCCTCACAAGCATAAGGTCCTAAGTTTGATCTCCTGTACACAAATAAATAAATAAGTATGATAATAAAAGAGGGGGGAACGTTTTGTTCCATAATTTGAAACATCTGGACAACCTACAAACATCACAAGTGACTCTTGACAGTTTCATGATCTCCAAACTAATATAACATAATAACCAAAGAGTACATGTTCACCTTCTCCCCCATCACCTCCATACTGGGGACTGAACCCAGGCTCTTCGGACTGAGCTACAATCCCAGCCCCTTTTAAAATTTTTTGAAACAGGGTCTTGCTAAATTGCCTGGGCTGGGCTGAAACTTGCAATGATCCTCCCGCCTTAGCCTCCCAAGATTGCTGGGATTACAGCCATGTGCCACTGTGCTCAGCTAACCTTTTGCTGTTGTTTTAAAATCAAGAATGGATTTTGTGTTTTTAAATAAGAATGAAGTTAGAAAATCAATTTTTCTTTGAATTCTGGCTTTATATTATAGTGTGATCAACCTATAACAGAACTGCAGTCTTCTGGTAATCACTGAAAATTTGTTATGCAGACATCATCAACTTCTGTTAGATCCAACAACCTTTCTAAATTAAGATCTTTGACATGAAAGGAAAATCCCTTATTAATTTGAACTCCTGACAAAAACCAGAGTGGGGAAAAAAGCCAAAAGAAAAATGAGATCCTAAAAAAGAATTAAACAGCAGTCTATCATGACTTTGTAGGCCGGGCATGGTGGCGCACACCTATAATCTTAGCACTCTGGAGACTGAGGCAGGAGGATCACTGTGAGTTCAAGGTCACCCTGGACTAGATAGTGCGTTCAGGGCCAGCCTGAACTACATATTGAGACTCTGTCTCAAAAAACCAAAAATAATAATACCAATATCATGACTTTCTTCAAGCATTCAATCTGATTCTAAGTAATCAGTATTTCTGAGCACCTGTAAACATTTAACATTCTATGGCTGTGGTGGCAAACCTATGGCATGCATGCTGCAGCCAGCTATCTGTTATCATTGAAAGTTCTAAAAGGTTCGCCATCACTGCCTAGAACAACACTGTGATGGGAATGTTGGCACTACAGCATCTGCAATATAACTACCAATGTACTGAACTTAATAAAAATAGTTTTAGAATTCTTTACATTGTAAATCTCTTGGCAAATGGCTGACTAAAGTTATAACATAATTTAAAAGTCAAATTATTTCAGATAAAGAAACTTAAGAACAGAGTGCCAAGTATATTTAGTTAATCTGTAAAATTACTGGATGAATTTTTACCATGACCGAAACTTTCTCAGTTATCCTTTCCAATATTTCCTGGTTTATATTGGCAATTTAGTAGTATCAATGCAAATTCATATCCTACCTTCTGAATTATTTGGCAACAGGCCCTTACTTTCGTCCCATTTGAGCTCAAAACTGTAGAAGCAGATCATATATTCCAAGTCCATTAGTATCACTGACAGGCTGTTCAGCTGATCGGCCAGCCAGAAATCAGCAAAGCCTACCTTATGGAAGGGAGCTGTAAATACTCGAAACTGAGAGAAAGAAAAAAAAAAAAATCAGAAAACTCAGAAACAAGAAAAGTCACGCTAAATTTCTCTAATTCATAGCTGACCATTTAGCATGACTGATTAGCTGATAAAATGGAAACCAATGAACCCATCACAAATACAAGGACTAAGCAACAGTGGGTGGGTTGACTACTAGAGAAGGGAATGAGTTGAATGGATAACTAAGGGGAAGGATGAGGGGAGGAATAGTTAAAAAACAAAAAGCACAGAGGTGGGAAAAGTTGAGGTCAAAAGCAGACAGTGGCAGCAGGTAGAAGTACCCAAAGAAAGTCTAACATCTCCAGGACAGAGGCGTGCTATGGCCATTTCTAGAATGTTTTCCCATCTTAGCTAACTGAATACAAAGCTCCTCTTTGCCTGCAAAGAATAGGTAAGAAAAAAAATGATACACTATCTGAGGCATGCCTTATTCTCTACCCAAAGTGACTTTTATTTCACTAATGTCATGGTAATGGTTGTGTTCATCTTGAAATTACAAGTATCAGTACTTCCTCTCACTGTTCTGAAAACAATAAAAAATGTGTTAAAGTTAAAGATATCAAACACTAAGTCATGCCTGTGTATTTTTATTAGATGTTAGGTATGCTTTAGCACGTTCATAACAGGGCCATAATTTGTATGTCTCACTGTCAGGTGGTTCTGAACTACCAGTGGTACAAACATGACTTTCCCATTGGGCAGCATGGGACAGTCCTATCACATGGTACAAGCTGCCCAATGGGACAGTCACGCACATACCACCAGTGGTTCAAGCCCACGGGAATGTGTTAATTCTTTTTTTTTTGGTACCGGGGATGGAACTTGGGTCCTTGCGCTTGCACAGCAGGAGGCAAAACCACTGAGCTAAATCCCCAGCCCCTGGAATGTGTTAATTCTTAAAACAATTCTAAAGGCCAGGTACTATTCATATTCCCATTTTACTGAAGAGTTACATCAACTCAACCTGGCTTATTCTGTGGAAGCCTCCTTACCAGTGCAAAGGAAATCCTTCCACAGAAAATGGAAGGTTTAGAGATTAATGCAATCGCCAGAAATAAGCTCAAATTGTGTAGACTGCCTTGAAAACCTATATGAAGTGAAGGTACGATGAAGGTACCTTTAATCCTTAACTTCTCAGACCCCTTCTATCTTATTCTACGGAAGAAAAATGGGCTCTGGAAACAAGGAAATCTAAGTAAGCCTAAGTTTTAAGAAAATCAGTCTAAATGTCTAGCTCCCTGGACATCTAGCTATATTTATTTAGTACACAAATTCAGCATAGGAGTCTACTGCACTCTCCTCTCAGACTCAGTTGCTTCTTTCTAGTCTTTCTCTAAATATTTATTTTTATTATTTCAGGGAAATAAATGGCTATACTATGAATCAATTTTGGGTGTCAACTATGACAGATACTAACTTGGAGCTTTGGAAGCTAGATCAGGTGTCTATAGGATAGAATGAAGATTTTGAGACAGTTTCTGGAGCTGATATATTTTGGTTCCATAACTCAGTCTTGTAGTACCTCCCAAACTCTTTTAGTGAGTCCAGTACACCAGAAAGAAGGGTTACTATGATTTACAACCATAAGCTCTACACACAGCAAACTCTCTGGGGGGTCAGGGTAGAAGAAGGATGGGATATTAGTTATCTGTGCATGAAGAGGTTCCAGTGCCTATTTTTGTTTTTTCTTTTCGGTACTGGGAATCGAATTCAGGACCTTGTGCTTATGCAGTACCACTGAGCTAAATCCCCAGGCCCTCCAGTGCCTGTTTTTATAATATTTTGAGAAACTAGGGTGCAGAATAGACTGGAAGAATTCAAAGAGACAAAGACAAGAGGAAAATTTAGCATTTAATATCAAAGAATCAGGAAATCTGCAAATTTCTTCTTTCTAGCTAACATGAGACAGATTTCCTTTTCTCTAACAATCTGCCAAACCCATCCTCAAAACCTGGCTAATACAGACAGCCTCTGTCAGAACAGCAGCAGCAGATAATGCATTGAATAGGAAACAAAGGGACTGAGTGATTGGAAAAGGAAGAGATCAGCATTAAAAAAAGGAAGCTGAAAGGGAAAATTTATAGGAAACAGAAGGCGAATAGGAAGAAAGGAGGATTAGCAAATGTTGGTAGAATACAACTAATGAAGGAAAAATGTAATTACAGTTATTCACACATTTAACAGAGATTTATTATTTATTGTACTTAAGGCACTGTGGAGATACAGATATAAATAAAACAGTCTTTGTCCTCAAGAGATCTCAAAGTTGGGCAAATACCTAGAGATATAATCACAGTACCAAATGGTAACTGTTATTATAAAGATATATTTAAAACATCCTGTTAAGTATAGAGAACAAGTAGCTCTGACAGAGGTAAGATAAAAGGGAGAAAACAAGTGGATCATGATCACTGACATTTACATAAAAATTCATTTTATATTTATCTGAATTCTTTTGAGTGACAATCTACCCTTCATTCTTTTCTTATTCTTATACCTTTCAAATTCTCCACTTTTACTTTGTGATTTGGATTAAAATGATAAAAATTCTGAAATAGTACTATGAAAGTTAAAGCAATTTTGAATATCTAACATTTTACCATATACATTACAAATACCACTAAAAAGTTTCTACAGGATAAATATTCCTTATATAAAATGCTTGGGGTCCAGAAACATTTTACATTTTGGAATATTAGTATATTTACAATGAGATAGCTTGAGCATAGGGCCCAAGTCCAAATATAAAATTCACTTATGTTTCATATATACCTTATACACATACTCTGAAGGTAATTTTATACAGTATCTTTAGTGTCCCTGCATTCTGATTGTGACTTATCACACTGAGGTCAAGTGTGGAATTTTCCACTAATAGTGTAATGTCAGTGCTTAAAAGGCTTTGGATTTTGAAGCATTTTGTATATTCTGACTAAGGATGTTCAACTGTGCAATGAATACATTAATATGATCTTCTAAGTTAATACAAGGAGCTAAGATGGTAAGTTTTGTTTTCTTTTCTTTTACAAGTTTCCACTGGCTATCATTATGGCCAAGTGATATATGTGTTTATCTCACTGAAAGATTGGAAGAAAAGAAAAGAAAGGATAGAATTTTTTTTAGGAAAAGGCTTTAATAAGTTATTTCAGAGAAATGTAACTAGAGTGAAAACATTCTTATTAATTCACTAGAAATAAATCTAAAGGCAAGTTTTAAGATATTAGTTTTTTTGGGGGGGGTACGAGGGATCGAACTCAGGTCCTTGCACTTGCAAGGCAAGCGGCAGAACCACTGAGCTAAATCCCCGGCCCCCTAAAGGCAAGTTTTATCAGTGAGATTTGAACTGAAATAAGTCAACAGGTCAACTGTATAAATGACCTATATATGATAAGATTCTTGGTTATTACTATAAAAATAACTAACCACAATTCTTCTTTCCATATTTCACTGCTTTGGATAATGCATTTTATTCTTCTACTATTCATTCTTATATCATTACTGCCAACCTATTCCATCAACGAGTTCTTATTTATTGAAGCAGATGCAAAGATAAACGACTACTCAATGGGGAATCCTTCTGCTAATAAGAGTAATTGGTCATGCATGAACCACAGCTTGCTATTTAAACAAAGAAGGATGCACTGGGGAAATGCTCACTTAGCACACAATGTACACAACTATATTATCCTATTATTGCAATGATGCAATTGTAGTAACTCCTGAGTTTTCAGAGTCTTCTAAAATCTCATTTGAAAATAGCTTCATGAGATTGTATATGTAGCCCGAAAACAATAGTTTAAATATACAGTATTTTAAACATGCTCCCCAGTGACCAGAAGAATGCTAATCTTTTATGCAAATAACACAGTTGGAAAATTCCACAGTAGTAATAAAATGACAGATAATTTCCAATAAGAAAGGTAATCTGATATTAACTGGCAATGACTTTTTTTTCTATAAGTCTCAAGAGATAAACTACTCAAATTTTTCTTTTTGTTCTTTTTATTTCATTCATTTATTTATTTTTTGAGATGGGATCTCACTATGTAATTCAGCTAGTCCTGAACTATTTTTTAATTTTTAGCTGAACTGGGAATTGAATCCAACGCCTGCTTGTGTATGGTAGGCAAGCTCTCTATCACAGACCTGTATCTGTAGTTCCTTATTTTTCTTTTATTTTGGGCCACAGTCTCACTAAGTTGCCCAGGCTATCCCTGAACTTGCAACCCTCCTACCTCAGCCTCCTCCATGGTATTACTAACATGTGCCACCACATCTGGCCAATATCAAGTATCTTTAATTTTCAAAATAGTTCTAACCTAATTTAGGAGTAAGGAGAAGACCTCTCCTTTACAATATTACAAAAACACAGCCATCATTTCTGTAGGAAATGCTATATCCTATTGATGAGACTAAATACTTTGAGATTAAGAAACAGGTAAAATAGAAGAAGAAATAGAGTTCAAAAATCAAAGTTAGTTTCTCAAATTAAATTTAATGATCTGGCAAGATATTCCTACCCCTTGTACAGAACCAATCTTTCCTAAAAGAAAGTGTTTGGCTAACCATTTGGATCGATTTAACAAGAAAGTCAATAGTTTTTCTACTAAGGAAATTTACAAAGTTCTATGTTATAATAGCTGTATAATAAAATAGTAAATGGTTAAAATGTGCAAAATCATTTCAGTACCTGGTTATTTTATACTCCATTTTAGGAGGAAAAAAATGCATGAATGCTTTTCTGAGGGCCACCACACTGCACAACTTTCAGGGTTATCTGTCACATGCCTTCTCTGCCCCTGATGCTGAAGCACCACTCACACAGACGCAATGTTAATGATTACTTCTGAAGTTGTTCAATCCACAGCTTTGGTTTTATCTTAGAGGAAGCCAATGACTAATATACTACTCTAAAAATGCTACACAAGTTTCTGGACTTACCAGCAATTTAAGCAGCCAAAACCGGGATTTATAATAGAAAGTCTTGGTGGGGTTGATAAGAAAGAAAACCATAAATCCATAAAGGACAAGTGGATACACATATGTGGGGATGACACTAATTGGAGCAAAGAAGCATGCCAGAAGGCTCAGACACCACAATATCCCCAGGAATCCAGCAATCTGGTAAAGGACAAGGAAGACAAAAAGAGAAAATTATTTTTACTTTTACCATTACTCAGAAGCATCTTTACTAAACCAAGGTAAGAAAAATAATTAGCAATTAAGTCAATAATCCTTTTGAACTAGAAGATGGATTTCAGTACTTATTTAACCAGCTACATAGCTAGTTTGGCAAACTATGTTCATGGGAATTTATGTCTTGCTTTACCTCAAAGAGATGCTGATGAGACAAATTGCTTCTTGGATTAAGTTCAAAGATGAGTACATGATTTACTCCAGCCTGTCTCCAACCGTATGTGTTGATGCCCAGCAGAAAAAGGAACTCAATCAGAAGAAAGCCACCTCGATAGATTCTTATCAAGGGCCAGATACTTCTATTTGTTTCAAGTTTAAATACAGCTGAAAGAATATTAATTTGTTGGTTACTTATAAAATCCGTGTTTCTTTTAATTATCTTTCATTCTCAAAGACATAGCCTGGCATACAAATTTTTCATTACAAAAATCTAGAGATTATTTAAAGAGCCCAATAAACTTGTCTCCAGTTTCTTTCCTTTCTTCATTTTGGTCTACAGAATGTCATTAGAAAAACTTGCCTAAAACTTGGCTTTTAGTGTGATATTCCATCATTCTATTCGTTTCTAAGATTATAGCAAGGCAATTGCTTAGAACTAAGATCAGTTTTGCCAGCTGGTGATTTTTGGCTGTGGCTTTCTTTTCTCTACTATTAAAATAATATCTACCTCACAGAGTTGGTGTAAAATTTAAAAGAACTAGAACACATGAAACAACATAAAATTTAAATGTCAACACTTAATATTATAGAATGATTACTATATGCTAAGTAACTTTTCAGTGTTTTTATGTGTAATTCATTTAGTCATCACAATTGTTCTTTGAGTTAAAAACTATTACCTCCATTTTGGTTAATGAGGAGCTGGAGCACCGGTTAAGTGTTACTGAGCTAATAGACGGCAGAGCCAGGATTTGGACCCTGACAGTTTTGCTCCAGAGTCCACACTTATTAAGCACTGTACCGCTCATCTGCTCATACAAACACTTAGTACTACAGCTCTCCATAACTGTAATGTTCAACTAGTTAGATGTGCAAACTCAAGTTCTTCACAATCTATCCTCCAACTCACTTTTCCCAAACTTGTCTCCCAGTACCCCCTAAACATTACTTCTCAGTCTCTGATGAATTTTATTATTTTTTGAGTTTGCTTTTCACATTTATTTATGTTTTCCCTGTACCTACAAAGGTCTTGCACTGTCTCAATATATAAATGAATTAACCATTTAGTCTTTATCTTTGTATTCTTTATGCCACACAGAACACTTAATAAACACAGAGAAAGCCTTTGCTTTGGAATCAAGTACTATAGACTGGATATCAAATTAATTTAAGGGGCAAGTTACTTAATTTTTCTAAGTCTCAATTTCTTGGTCAATGAGGATAATGTCTATTCTCTTAAGTGTGTTAAGATGAAATGTAAACATATATCAAATGCCTACACTAATCAGATGTCTGTCCCATTATTAGTATTCAGTATATGTTAGTTTTAGTTGAAAATACTTCATTTATTCAACAAATACTTATTAGATGTCCCTTACAGCCAATACCATTGTAAGCGGTGAGATTTAGTAATGGATAGTAGACAAAATAGTTATCTTCAGCTTACCAATGAATAATGTGAGATACTGATAAGGAATATAAAGAAAAATTACTGTAAGGAGAAAAAGACATTATGTGCTATTTTAGGTAGTGTGGTCAGGGAAGAGGCTCAGGAGATGACATTTGCAGAGATCTTAAGGAAAAAAGAATAAACCATTGGGATATTTAGAGGAATAGGCCTCGGATAGAGGGAAAGTACAAAAGGCCCTGTGATAGAAGCTCAAGGCCACTAAGATTAGAATGAACAAGACATGAAGTGGAAGAGCTGGCCAGTAGCAAAGCAGACAGGTTTTTGTTTGTCAAGATTTAAGCTTTTACTCTAATGTACAGGCCAGTGGAAGGTTTCACATAAGTGATATGACTTGATTAATGACTTTCAAGAAATGAAAAAGTTGAAAAGGTCCCAAATGGTCAAAAGAGTAATAAAAGAGAACATAGTTGTAAGACTCGTGTGTGTGTGTGTGTGTGTGTGTGTGTGTGTATGGTGGTGGTGGTGGTACTGGGGATTGAATCCATGGCCTTCACATTGAGAAATATCCACCACCCTTTTTAAAATCTTTTATTTTCAGTCAAGATCTTGATAAACTGCCCAAACTGGGCTGAGCCTGTCATCCTTCTGCCTCAGCCTCCCAGAGTGCTGGGATTACAAGCATGTGCCATCATGCCTGGTCAATATACTTCACAGTTCTAAAACAGTCCAGTCTTACAATAACGATAACAATGTAACACTGGCATAAAAAGATATTCCATTTATCTACGGAGTAAGATTAAAAGCTCAGAAATGGGCCGGGGATTTAGCTCAGTGGTTCCACCACCTGCCTCTCAAGCACAAGGTCCTGAGTTTGATTCCCAGTACCAAAAAAAAAAGTTCAGAAATAAACATCTACAGCAGTTGATTTTCAACAAGCATGCCAAGATCATTCAGTAAGAAAAGTATTTTCTTCAAAAGTAGTGCTGGGACAACTGAATGTCCATACACAAAAAATTTAAGTTGGATCCCTCATTTCACAATACAAAAAAATCAATTCAAAACTGATTGATGACATTAACAAATAAAACTAAAACCATAAAACTCCTAGAAAAAACAAGGGTAAATCTTCAAAATCTTGGATTTGGTAATGCACCAGAAATATGTACAAAAATGTTAAGATAAACTGAGCTTCAACAAAATTAAAGCTTTTACAGACAATGGATTGTATCAAAAAAGTAAAAGGACAATCTACAGAATGGAGAATAAAATTTGTAAATCATGTATCTGATTAAGAATCTTGTGTATAGAATATATAAAAAATCCTTACAACTTGATCAAAAGCCAATCCAATTAAAACATAAGCAAAAGCGAAGCATGGTCATGTGCGCCTGTAATCCCATTACTTTGGGAGGTGAGAAAGAAGGATGACAGGTTCTAGTCCAGTCTGAGCAACTTAGCAAGGTCTTATCTCAAAACAAACCATCAGAGCAATGATAAGCAAAAGATTTGGATGGACATTTGTCCAAATTACTTAAAATACCAAGTTCATGAAAAGTTGCTTAAGTGGTTAGTTATTAGGAAAATGCAAATCAAAAAAATAACTAGATACTTCACACCTAGTTGGAAGGTTAAAATTTTTTAAAAACACATGAAAAATAACAAATGTTGGAGAGAATATACAGAAAACAGAATGCTCATAAAATTGCTGTTGGAACTGGAAAATGCTATGTCTACAGAAAACAGTTTAGTGGTTCCTCAGAGAGTTAAACACGTACTCAAACAAATTCATGTAAATATATGTTCATAGCAGCATCATTCATAATTACCAAAAGGTAGATATAACTCAAATAGTCATCAATAGATGAATGGTTAAACAAAGTTTTATATATATAAAATGGAATATTATTTAGTCATAAAAGGAATGAAGTATTGATACATGCTACAACATGGATGAACTCTGAAAACATGCTAAGGGAAAGAAGCCATACACAAATTGTCACATATTGTGTGATTCCAGTTATATGAAATATCCAGAATAAGTAAATCCATAGATGCAGAAAGCAGATTGGGAGCAGCTAGCAGGTAGAGAGAAAGAAATATGATAATACAGTTTCCTTTTGGAGTGATGAAAATTTTTATGTAAAGATTGTATAACAATGTGAATGTATAAAATGTCACTGAAATGTTCACTTTAAAATGGTTAATTCTGTTATATAAACTTTACCTCAAAAAAATAAATGCAGAGGAAAAAATAACAAATACATCAAGCTGACATCACTAACTCCATTGTTAGGCACATGCTTTGAACTGTTTTACTAGTGGTAGTGATAGATCACAATTTACAACTTTCTAATTCTGTCTCGTTAACATTTGTGGTCACAAATAGAAAGTAAAATAGTCTGGAAAATAAAATAGTCTGGTTAGACCAAATATTTATTGGTCTAGCAGCATTAATATTGTTCTCTACATAGAAAAAATAGCCATGAATAGGAAAATGTAATATATATTCATTCATAAAAGTTATATATGTATTTACAAAACTTAAGTTCTACTTGATAATGAGAAACAGAAAATCTATAAGGCTTTTTTTAAATAACTGTGCTCTTAAATAAAATAATATCTTTGACCTAAACAGTAAGTTCAAAAAGTTTAAAAAAACAACCCAAACAATAAAATGTTACTGGATATCTTCCCAAAAGAATTAAAAGAATCATACCACAGTGATATATGTGCACCCATGTTTATAGCAGCACACTTTGTAATAGCTAAAACTTGCAAACAGCTCAACTGCCCATCAACTGGAGACTGGATAAAGAAGATGTGGTTTTTTAATAAAATGGAGTACTACTCAGCCATAAAGAATGAGAAACTGGAGACATTTGTAGCTAAGTGGATGCACACTGAGGCTATACTCTTAATCAAAATAAATAGGACACACATGTGTAAATACCAAATAGTTTCTCTGGTGTGAAAAACTGAAAGTGTAAATAAGAATCAAAATGTATAACTGATATTGTGCAATAGGAAGAAAATATCTAAAGGAGTAGGGGAAGTGGGAGCAGTAGGGGAAAGGAAAGAAGGGAAAAGAAAAAAAAATATGAGAAAAGGAAAAACATGGAAACAAAGTCTTTGTAAATAGGGAAGGGTGGAGAGGGTGAAGGGAGGGGAGGGGAATGGGGAAAAAAATAAGAACCAAGATATAGTACGTAAAGGTACAAGATCCCAACAATGAATGTAACTGTATTGTATACTTAAAATGTACCCAATAAACTAAATGGAAAAAAATGTCATTCTGCTGAATGAAAATATAGGTAGGGGTATATTTGCCAAAGAACTAATTCAGTTTCAAAAAACACATAGCAAACTTAACTGTTAACAGTCAATTATTCATCAAAGACTAGAAACTTCAAATTCACATAACTCTAAAACCTAAGGACACAGGTTACCAATACATGAAATGTTTTCCTAGCATGATCTCCCTGAAGCAATCTTATGTAGATGCACTTATATTAATTAAGCCACAACAACTCTTGTTAGAGAAGGTCATTGTGAAAAATTCTAGGGAATTAAGAAACAAAATGAATTAGTATTATTAATAAAAATATCATCTTTGTGATCCATAGGCCCATAGAATGAAAGATACTATTCTAAACTCTTCATGGCTTTATGAATTTTTAATAAAAAACAGCTAACATTCATCAAGTATTTATTCTGGACTAAGCAACGTGTTTAGTGCTTTATATGAATAATATCA